AAATTTTAAAAGAGATATTCTTAATTATTGAGGTTTGAGAGATTGTTTTAATTAGTTATGAACTCATTTGACTGTTAGTTGATTAACGAAATTAATGATCTGGCAGTTACTCCTAGATTGAACTTGTTGACTTGAAAAATTATATTCATATTTTGGTGGTTGGACAATGTGATCTAGTTGTCAATTCTTCCTATTTTATTCTCTATCTTCTTCTCGTTGATGACACTGTCCCCCTCCTCCCTCATCAACATTCGTCGCCTCCACGCCTTTGCTGTCGCTCGCAGTCGTCTCCATTGCTACTAATCTTCCAGTCTGGAAGAAATGGGAGCTCCACTTCGTTTCAGATATGAAGTTGTTTTCCCCTTTGATTCTGAAACGAAGAGGGAAGTGTCCACCCCCTTTGTTCCAAATCTGAAACGAGTGGGAGTTATCCTTCAACGGTAACGAAAATGGCAGTAGCGACGAGAATTTATCAGAGAGGAGGACGATTGCGAGCGATGGCAGAGGCGACGAGCGCTTAAGAGAGAGGAGGGAGACGACAATGCAAGCAGAGGTCGTCAAAGGGGGGAGAAGAAGGGAGAGGAAAGATGAAGAAGATTGCCAATTCGCATATCCAATCATAAAAAAATACATAAATAAATATAATTTGTGAAATTACCGAGCCTAATCATAATTACCTACGATATCATTTGTCCATTTGTCAGATGAGCTTCAAGACCTATTTGAACCATTTTTTTTCATACTTTAAGGACTAAAAATGTCTCCTTTAAAACCTTAAAACTAAATAGACATCAAACTTAAACCTAACAATACCAAAGGGGTATTTTACCCTCCAATATCTAAAGCTATATGTTTGATAATTCAATATTTATCATATTAAAATTATATGTTACTTTTAATATTTTTTCATATCATAATTTATGATTGTCTGGTAGTCATTAAACTAGTGAAAGAATAAATTATTTAGAGGGGATTAATAAAATCTATGGCGGAAAACTTTTTAAATTTTAATATTTTATAAGTTTTTTTTTTTAACAACAAAATATAGAAACGCTTAATCAAAGTACTATAAAAATATAACTTTGTTCTTGAAGTACTCCCAAAACCTACTCTTATTAGATTTATGTTATATGATTTATTGAAAAATAAAACATAAAAAATGATTAAAAAGTAAAACGTACAACATGTAGGGTTTGGGTTCGAACTCACAACCTCTTGATTGAAGTATCAATTATTACTGAATTATGCTCGTTTTGATAATTTTTTTTATAAGACGTTGGTAAACTAAAATTGAATATACTTAAAATAAAAAAAATGAAAAAAAAAGTTAAACTTTTTATTATTATTATTATTTTGGAATAGCATCCGGCTATTTTCAACTACTTTTAATTATGAATACATCAGTTTTCTTAATTTTTAAGATTAAGACTTATCTTAATCAGTTCAACCGAATGATACATTTTTTCTTAAATTAAAAAAAAAGGGAGTAGCATGTTTCGTGGAGTATTTTGAGTTGTAAAATTATTTTAAAAAATACGTATTATTATTATATTAAATTATCATTATAAAATTTCTAAAAATTTTTAGTAGGATCAAACTCACAATCCTTTGGTTTAATATATATGTTAATTACCATTGAGCTATGCTCACTTTCGCATAAAATTTTATAAATTTTATATGTCTTTCTTTTCAATTTAATCTCTATAATTTTAAAATTTTCCAAATAGAAAGGTCATGGTCACGTTCGGACAAAAAATAAATATTATGTTTAATAGATACGTAAATTTTAGAGAATGTCAAATAAGTCAGGATCTATTAGATTCAAAATTAAAAATTTACGACTTATTAAACACCTTTTTAAATTTAATAATTTATTAAACACAACCTGAAAATGAAGATTGGACAATGAAGTAGTCATTTCTTTCTTCTCCTTCCTATCTCATCTCTCCTCCAATGAACCAACTTGCTAGCGGTCGTTGTATCCGCCATCATATTCAGAGTATGTTTAGGAGTTGTATTATATTTTCAATAGAGGTGATTTTTGAAATGACAAAACCACTTTCAACTAATGTTAATGTTAGATCCTTTATTCTCATTCAAAATCATCTAAAAAGAGGGAAGCTCCTTATTAAGAGTGCAAATCAAACTGCAAGAGGAAAGAAGAGATCTATAATCTATGGGCGAGGATGATAATAATAATAATATGAAACCACACCCATCTTTACGATTTTTGGATTGAATTTTAATTTTCAACCCCTACGAACCCACCCGCCGATTGGCTTTTCCTTCTCAGTTTTCTCTCTGTCGCACGCAGGTGGCGAAAAAGTGAAATAACGCAAAAGTATTGGGCCACAATTCGAATTACGTAAAGTACATGGAGAAACAAATAATATATAATGTATAATTAATTAATGAATTTTGTAGTAACTTCTTAACTTTAAAATGCTGCAAATAAAGATAAAATTTATACTACCATCACGCTTCTTCCATGTTCTCTCCATCTGTCTCACGTCCTTTTTATCCCAAAAAAAAAAAAAAAAAGAACCCCATTCGTATTCCTTAAGCAACCGCCCATTAAAACGCGGCCACGCCACCCCTTGCTTTCCAGTTCATAAACTTCACACCTTTATTCTTCCTCGTAATAATATTAATTATTAATTAATTAATTATTAAATGCACCGTTTCGAGAACCCTCCGTTTAAACTGCGGATTTATTTCTCCTCTCGCTGTCCTTTTTCTGAGAATTTATTCTATTTTTGTTATCTACTTTACGTTATTTTGTGGGAGCGTGGGCCTATTTATTCTTCCATTTACCAACTTTGTGTGCTGTTGATAAATTGTCTCGCAGTTGGGGTCTGATTTTGGAGAAGGAAGCTGACGGTACGGCGGCGACGGCGACGGAGAGGCACGGCCACCGCGTTGCTTAAAACGCGCCGTTTTATCAGGTAACTCTAGAAACTTCATTGTAATTTATTACGCGGTTTGTTTAATATTTATAAATAAGAATAATATTATAAGAACCGACAGAGCGGGCGGGTTTTAGGTCGGTTAGGCCGGTGCGGCAGGACCGGCCGACAAAATGACGTGCCGACTTCAACTTTTTTTTTTTTCGGCGAGGTCTTCTCGTTCAAGGATCTTGAAAAATATCGCAAAAGTCGCCAAATTTTAACTATCATTAAGGACAAATCAAATTTATTGAATAAATTAATTTTATTTTATAACGATTCTGTCATCCTACTTTTAGTACGTAACAATTTAACTCCTACCACGAAAACTTCAAATCAAAATTACGTGTAGTTTTTTTATTATATAAAGATTTAGTCTTTATAACCTATATACACACTCAGTTCTTCATCCGTTTACGAATCAATATAAAATAATTCTATTAAATCTTAACGTTTATTAGGATAATTAAATTAGTTAAGGGGTTAAATTGACTAAATTGTTCCCATCTTAACAATAAAAATAAATAAATAAATTACTACGTACTAAAATTTATGGATTAAATAGTTACTTTGAACATTGAACATTAAAACTTATAAACTTGTTGAGATTAATATAGAAATGATTGTGCATTTAGAATGCGGCATGCATTTTTGTTCTTTTAACTATTTGTCGTTGTTCATTTTTACTTATGTTTTATGTTTATGTATGATATTGATACGTATTTTTAATTCTATTTCGGACTTATTTATTTATTATACTATGAATAATGTCTATTAAATTGATATAAATAAATTTAGATAGCATTATATAAAATTTCAATTTAGTACTCGGTGATACCCTATGCTAGATTGATATTGAATTATATTTACTGTCATTAGTGTGGTTAAATTGATATTCCAATTAATCTTGTACTGCTTTATATATTAATTGTGCTCTATACAAATTAACAAACTAAATATTTAATAATATTTCATATCAGCGTGAGAATCAACAAATTAAGCTCATAAAAAATTAAGTTGCAAAATTAGATTAAATATAGAATGAATGAGGGTGTGATAATCACCTAGATTTAGGCATGAGATCCAGGAATTTCAAGATTATTTAATATATGTTTCTATTTATATTTATACCATAGGCTCAAAATGAAAAGTTTTTGATTTATAAATGATCCTACGATGAAAAAAAAAACATTTACGATATTTATTTATTTTTTCAACTAGATAATCAATTACTAATTGAAAAATACTTAGCTTCTTAACAATTTTGTCATCGTTACTATTAAACATTTGACAATTTAGAGAAACGCAGACATAGAAACTGTTTTTTTTTTTTTAATTTAAGTTAATGCATTGTCAAATTTTAATGATGATAATGATAAGATTTGGTTGGAAGTCAAATATTTTCCTTATTAGTATAATTTTCCCTCAATGACGTGAGTAAATCTAAATAAATGTAAATTGCCGTTCTTAAGCCAAGTAAAAATATTGCATTGTAAAATTATAGATTTGGACTACTAGTCAATTATTGCTATACATATATTATATTTTAATTTTTTATTATTATTATTTTTCTTTTATAAATATCGTGATAATTTTCAATATTGTCTCCTCTTTTCTCCTTTTTGCAAAGTTTCAAATTGCCTTTTGTGTGATGGTGATTCTACTACTGACTTTGTTTTCTTTTTTGAATTTTAAACTCGTTTATTTTTAAAACTCGAAATTAAATTCTTTTAGCTTTTAAACTATATAATATAATATAGCATAATAAAATTCCAAAAGTGTATGCTTGAAAAACTGAAAAAAATCAAATTTTACAAAATTGATTTTTTAGAAACAGATAACTAAAGGTAAATTTCAATTTAAAAAATATATAAATAAAAAAAAACCTAAAACAATTCAAAACAAGATCACGGCAAAATTCCCAAAAGATCCCTAGTATTCTAGGTAGTTTTTCAATTTCAGTCTTAAATTATTCCTTAGAAAAATCTATTCATTTATGTCTTATTAAGTTACCGTATAATTAACAATTTTATATATGGGGCATTGCTGTAAAAAAACAGTTTTTTTTTTCTGGATTTAAATCCCCACCTATTTATTTGAGTTAATGAGGAAAAATATTTAATTATAGATTCAATTTTTTTTTAATTCC